ACAGCCAGACTTCAGGCAGAGTGCAGGGAACCTTACGGAAGAAGAGGGAAGATAGAAAGACCTGGAGGGGACAGGAATTCCACAGGGAGACCAAAAGAGCCAAAAAACCTGGGTCCAACCAAGGACCATGCATGCAAGGACCTAGACCCCCTGTTCAGAGGAAGCTTATAGGCTGCTCAGTTTCCAAGTGGGTTCCTTAGTAAGGAGTGCAGGGGCGTCTCTGATATGAACTCAGTGGCTGGCTCTTAGATCAGTTCCTGCTGGGGGATGCAGCCTTACCAGGCCACAGAGGAAGATGATGCCACCAGCCCTGATGAGACCTTATAGGCTAGGGTCAGATAGAAGGGGAGGAGGTCCTCTCCTATCCATGGACTAGGGAAGTGGCATAGGGAGAGTAGTAGGAGGGTGGGTGGGACAGGGAGGAGATGAGGGAGGGGCCTCCAGCAGGGATACAAAGCAAATAAATTATAATAATAGGTAAATAAATAAATAAATAAGTAATTTTTTTAAAGACCCAGCTATACCACTCCTGGGCCTATACCCAAAGGATGCTCCACCATACTACAAGGACACTTGCTCATCTATATTCAGAGTAGCTTTATTTATCATGTCCAGAAACTGAAAAAAATCCTAGATGTCCCTCAACAAAAGAATGGATAAAGAAAATGTGGTACATTTACACAATAGAATAATACTCAGCTATTAAAAACAAGGAAAACATGAAATTTGCAGGAAAATGGATGGAACTAAAAGAGATCGTCCTGAGTGAGGTAACCCAGACTCGGAAAGACATGCATGGTATGTATTCACTTATAAGTGGATATTAGCCATATAGTGCAGGATAGCCAAGCTATAATTCATAGACCCAAAGAAGCTAAGTCACAAGGAAGGCCCAAGGTGTGGGAGGGTGGAGTGGAAACACTTGAATCTCACTGAGAAGGGGAATAGAATAGACACCAGGCTGGGTGGAGGGAGAGAAGTGGGTGGGGAGGAGCTGAAGAGGGAGCAGGAAGGATCAGTTTGGGGGAGGATGCAGGGAGAGAACCGGAATCAGCAGGAACATCTCTGCAACAAGCTAGAAACCTAGGACAATGGAAACTTCCAGTCATCTATTAGGGTGACCCTAGCTAAGACTCATAGCAATGAGGTATATGGAGCCTGAAATGACCATCTCCTGTTACCAGAAAAGATTTCCAATGGAGGAACTGGGACAGCAACAAAACCACAAAACCTTAGACTCACAGTTTCTCCTGCCAACAAGATATACAGGGCTAAAGATGGAACAGAAATTGGGGGAATGACCAATTGGGGGAATGACTGGCCCAGCTTGAGACTCATGCCATGAAAGAGAGCCCACCCCTGGCATTACTAATGATGTTCTGCTATACTTCCAGACAGGTACCTAGCATAACTGTCATCTGAGAAGCTTCACTCAGCAACTGATGGAAAACAAGATGCAGAGACCCACAGCTAAACATTAGGCAGAGCTTGGGAAATTCCATGGAAGAGGGGGATGATGGATTGAAGGAGCAAGAAAGGTCAAGAACATCACAAGAAAACATACAGAACCAACCAACCTTGGCACATAGGGGCCCGCAGAGACTGAACCACCAAACAGAGAGCATACATGAGACAGACCTAGGTCCTCGGCATACATGTAACAATTGTGAAGCTCAGTCTTCATGTGGGACTCTTAACAGCAGGAGCAGGAGCTGTATCTGGCTCTGTTACCCACCTTTGGTTCCTTTCCCTAACTGGGCTGCCCTGGCTAGCCACAGAATAAGATGTGCTCAGTGATACTACAACTTGATATGCCAGGACAGGTTGATATCCATGGGAGGCCTCCCTTTTTCTGAGCCTTTTTTGAGGAGAAAGAGAGAATGGCAGGAAGGGGAGGAGAAAAGGAGGGACTGGAAGGGGAGGAGGGCAGGAAGCCTTTGACTGGGATGTAAAATAAATAAATTAATAAAAACAGAAATAAAAGAGTGTCCCACTGTGAGAGACACTTCCTTTTCAAGGGTTATCAGAGTGCACAGGGACACAGTCCTATAAGAGTCCCTGTGGAGAGATTGGGCCAGAGAGCAGCAGCGAACTAGAAACAATATTTGCATTATATGTAAGATGTAAAGGTCTGTTATGTGGAATGAGTTCTCAAAACCCAACAAGAAAAGGCTCCACAACTAAGTGGGGAAAACGAGGCACGAGTGTAAGAGAAAAGGCAGAGCGGGAAGAGCAACTCCTGAGCACTGCCTTTCCCAGTAGGGAACTAAACCAAGCCTGGAGCGCCGTTGAGGGGAGGGCCTAAGATGAATGGGAACAGCCGTGCCCCGGTTCCAAGAGCAACGCTGTGGAGTATTGACCTCGGTAATATGGGGCGTTGGGCTTGGGGATATGGTCTTTAGGGAAGGCAGCACTCCTGTTGGGGCTCAGGTGCCTGCCAAAGTAACAACACCTCAGAAGAGCCGCATCACCATTGTCCGGGGTGTGCTACAGAGTCGCAGGGCAGAGAGGGATGACAGACGTGTGAAGGAGTGAGTGACCAGCCATGGTAGCAACGTCGTAGATATTAAAAGGAAGTATTATGTGTGTTGGGCAGTGAGGCCATAGAGAGAGCGCTCCTCTGGGTACAGCAAGTCTTAAGATCTGCAGAAGAGGTTGAGAGAACGAGGAGGAAGGAGAGAAAATGGCGTCCACGGATTACAGTACCTACAGCCAAGCTGCAGCCCAGCAGGGCTACAGTGCTTATGCCGCCCAGCCAACTCAAGGATATGCACAGACCACCCAGGCATATGGGCAACAAAGCCATGGAACCTATGGACAGCCTACTGATGTCAGCTATACCCAGGCTCAGACCACTGCCACCTACGGGCAGACTGCATATGCGACTTCTTATGGACAGCCTCCCACTGGTTATACCACTCCAACGGCCCCCCAGGCAGACAGACAGCCTGTCCAAGGATATGGCACTGGTGCTTATGACACCACCACCGCTACAGTCACCACAACCCAGGCCTCTTATACAGCTCAGTGTGTATGGCACCCAGCCTGCCTACCCAGCCTATGGCCAGCAGCCAGCAGCCACTGCACCTACAAGACCACAGGATGGTAACAAGCCCACTGAGACTAGTCAACCTCAATCTAGCACAGGGGGTTACAACCAACCCAGCCTAGGATATGGACAGAGTAACTATAGTTATCCCCAGGTGCCTGGGAGCTACCCCATGCAGCCAGTCACCGCACCTCCGTCCTATCCTCCTACCAGCTACTTGTCTTCACAGCCAACTAGTTACGATCAGAGCAGTTACTCTCAGCAGAACAGCTATGGGCAGCCGAGCAGCTATGGCCAGCAGAGTAGTATGGTCAACAAAGCAGCTATGGGCAGCCGCCTCCCACTAGTTACCCCCCTCAGACTGGATCCTACAGCCAGGCCCCAAGCCAATATAGCCAACAGAGCAGCAGCTAGGGGCAGCAGAGTTCATTCCAACAGGACCACCCCAGTAGCATGGGTGTTTATGGGCAGGAGTCTGGAGGATTTTCCGGACCAGGAGAGAACAGGAGCATGAGTGGCCCTGATAACCGGGGCAGGGGAAGAGGGAGATTTGATCGTGGAGGCATGAGCAGAGGTGGGCAGGGAGGAGGACGCGGTGGAATGGGCGCTGGAGAGCGAGGTGGCTTCAATAAGCCTGGTGGACCCATGGATGAAGGACCAGATCTTGATCTAGGCCTTCCAATAGATCCCGATGAAGACTCTGACAACAGTGCAATTTATGTGCAAGGATTAAATGACAATGTGACTCTGGATGATCTGGCAGACTTCTTTAAGCAGTGTGGGGTTGTCAAGATGGACAAGAGAACTGGGCAACCCATGATCCATATCTACCTGGATAAGGAGACAGGAAAACCTAAAGGTGATGCCACCGTGTCCTATGAAGATCCGCCAACTGCCAAGGCTGCCGTGGAATGGTTTGATGGGAAAGATTTTCAAGGAAGCAAACTTAAAGTTTCTCTTGCCCGAAAGAAGCCTCCAATGAACAGCATGCAGGGTGGCATGCCACCTGGTGAGGGCAGAGGGATGTCACCACCACTTCGTGGAGGTCCTGGTGGCCCAGGAGGACCTGGAGGACCCATGGGCAGCATGGGAGGCCGTGGAGGAGACAGAGGAGGTTTCCCCCCAAGAGGGCCCCGGGGCTCAAGAGGGAACCCCTCTGGAGGAGGAAATGTCCAGCAACGAGCTGGAGACTGGCAGTGTCCCAATCCGGGCTGTGGAAACCAGAACTTCGCCTGGAGAACAGAATGCAACCAGTGTAAGGCCCCTAAGCCCGAGGGCTTCCTCCTGCCACCCTTCCCACCTCCGGGTGGTGACCGTGGCTGAGGCGGCCCTGGTGGCATTCGAGGAGGAAGAGGAGGACTTATGGACCGTGGTGGACCTGGAGGAATGTTCAGAGGTGGCAGAGGTGGAGACAGAGGTGGCTTCCGAGGTGGCAGTGGCATGGACCGAGGTGGCTTTGGTGGAGGAAGACAAGGTGGTCCTGGGGGACTGCCTGGACCTTTGATGGAAAGATGGGAGGAAGAAGAGGCGGGCATGGAGGATCTGGGAAAATGGATAAAGGCGAGCACCGTCAGGAACGCAGAGACCGGCCCTACTAGAGACCTGCAGAGCTGCATTGACGACCAGATTTATTTTTTAAACCAGAAAATGTTTTAAATTTATAATTCCATATTTATAATGTTGGCCACAACATTATGATTATTCCTTGTCTGTACTTTAGTATTTTCACCATTTGTGAAGAAACATTAAAACAAGTTAAATGGTAGTGTGCTGAGTTTTTTTTTCTTTTAAAGATGGTTGTTTTAAGACTTAACAGTGGGAACCCCTTGTGAGCATGCTCAGTATCATTGTGGAGACCCAAGAGGGCCTCTAATTGTAACAATGTTCATGGTTGTGATTTTTTTTTAAATAAAATTACAAATGTTTATAAACTGTCAACAACAAAAAAAGATCTACAGAAGATAAACAGGAGACACCGGACAGCTGGCGTTTCCAGTTGAAAGCCATAGGAAGGAACAAGACTGTTGCCTCAGACCCAAGCCAGGCAGACAGCAGGTGTCCCTTGTATATGGGGAGTGGCCAGTCCTCTGGGGCTATTCAGGCTGGCAACTGATAGCTAATGATCATCCACGTTAAAGGGGAAATTTCTGTTACCCAGTCGATGCACTGCAGCATTAGGCATATCCGTAGCATCTTCAAAGAAACACCCAGAATAATATTTGGCCAATTATCCAGATACCAAATGTCCTAGTCATGCTGACACATAAAATTACCTATCACGCCAAGTTAGGTCCAGAAACATCTAAAAAAATATATGGCATCGAGCAGTGTTAAGAAATGCACATGGCAATGGTAAGAGGAATTATGCACAGTGCAAAGAGGGAATGGAGATAGGAACCAGCCGCTAGCCCATGCAGTTCTTACCAGGAAGACACCGTTCACCATGTTGTTAATGTCATGGAAAATAAATCACAAGATACCCATAAGAGAACCCAAGAGCTCACATCTGCACCCAGGAGTTCATGCCTCACCTATATACAGTAGCTCACTCCCAGGGAACTCACATCTACACAGAAACTCACACCTCCACTAGAAATTTACACCAGCACCAGGAGTTCAGTCCTACACCCTGGATCTAACCCAGCCTCCAGAGCTCACACCCATACACAGGATCTTATGCCTGCACCCAGGAGTTCACACCTGCATAAGGGACTACACATTTGCACCGCAGATTCAACCTTGCTGGTCACTGAAAAGTGCCTGGATGATGCACTAGCCAGGGTGGGAGAGAACATACAGACTGTCTCTCAGAATTTAGACGTGGAGGTTATGACCTCATCAACCACCACACTGGTTAAAAATGTGATCATTGCCTCAAACGAGAGAAGATCTTAAGAGCAAACCTAAAGATCTTAAACCAAGTGCCTGGGTGTGAGCTGCTGTGTCTGGGTGTGAGCTGTGACATGAGCGAATATGAAACCGTGAGACATTCAGACGCATGTGTGGGGGCACAGCTAACCGTTGAGAGGTGGTTACTCTGGCCACTGTGAGTTTGTCTTTTCTGTCACTTCGGGTTGGCTCATTGCTTACTGGCTCTAATTCCTTTGAGCAAAAATTGTGTTAGGTTTTCAAATGATCATAAAGAAACAGGAAGGGGATGGCAGTCAACTACCCAGGCTTCTAATGACACCGAGGGTTTTGGGTTTGCAGAATAGGCAGACTGTGGGTCTAGTTGCCACAGAGAATGAAATGGTCATCCTAAGCTGGTGAGGGTTCCCTACATCATTCTTTCCATGCTAACATGGTGAGTTGGAGAAAGAAACATGGGAATGGGCTGTGGCTAGGGGACCACATCGCCTCACAGGAGTGACTTCTCTAATGAGGGACACTAGACACAAGTGGTCCTAAGTTGTCTCTACTGCAATTCTGGTGGTCCCTTCAAGGTTTGCAGAGGACTGCAGCCTTCCTACCAACCCATAGAGAGTGGTGCCAATGAAGCAGAGATTAGCCACAACCAGCCTTCTACTTCTGGTGCCCAGGGAGTTAGAGTCTCAGTTGCCAGCGGCCAGCACCTTCTTAATTGGCCACTGGAGGCCAAGAGCCCCAGTGCTATGAGGTACAGAGCATCCTCTACAGCAGAGTGACCCCAAGGGCAGACACCTCCACACAATGCCCTGCTGGAGATGACAGAACAGGCAAAGTGATCACTCTTACAAGACCCCGAACCTGCCACAGCCAGGCTCGTACAAGAACCCAGGTGCCCACCTTTGCTCATAGTCACCTCACCACATGGCTGACCTGATGAGGGTCAAGAGACAACTGATGTCTGCCTCCCACCCCAGACCAGGCTCATCAGCGTGCAGCACTGGGAGCCCGCGTGTTAGCTGTGTGACCTTGGGGTAGACCTGACTCTTACCTGAAAGGTAGGTTCACCTGTATGGAGAAGGTGACCATCCATGTGGATGGAGAGAAGAAAGGTGGGGTACACAGTGTGAACTAGGGGCTAAACCAACATCTTATCCTGATCATCTCTGATTTGGCACAGGTTAGGGAATGCAGTTTGCGGGCCTCATTAAGCTCCAGCTAATTATGCAGGCAGGTGGGCTGAAACTCTGCCTCTAGCCAGGGCACAGGCCCCTGTGACGGTGCTTGCTCAAGCCGAGGAGGAAGCATGGGCTTTCCCTTCACAGGCAGTATCTGGCAGCTCTCCCACAGCAAAGCAGTGCTCTCAGCCCACACCTCCTTCTCCTTGCACAAATATCCTGAGAGGACATTTTCCTTGGCAACCTGGGAAGATTCAGCTGTCCTTGTTCCATTCACACATAACACATATCACCATGAGAACCTCTATGGTCACTACTGTGCCTGCTGCCTGGTGTGTCAAGAACGTGAGCACAAAGCCATTCCATGCACACCTTTGAGCTCACAGTAAGAAAAACTGGCTGTGTCCTTCAACCACCATCTCATTCCTGTGTGAGGGAGAACTGTGCAGTAGAGGGCGAAGCAGATGAGCTCACCCTGACCAGAGAAGTCCTCCACCTTCCAGGTTGAGAGCAGACAACCTCATCTCTCCATCCTGGACTCTCAGTACAGCACTTCCCTGCATTGATTAATCGGCCAAAAGCATAGGCATCAAAGCCAGCCACTTAGAGGACACCCCTAATCTAGCAATGCTATCTATGATCTCTGTGAATAAGAGAAGTGACTGTGAATGGCCAGGTTTTCAATGGCAAAAAAACAAGACTCTATAAACCCCTAAGGATAACGTGGAGCAGGGAGTAAACTTGGCAGTGATGTCTGTGGGATACACTGAGCATGCCCCAATGTGGAACCAGTTCTGCTGTTTCTCAGGACATGGCCTCACTGCCCCTTAACTACAGTCTCCATCCAACATGTCGTCATTAGCTGGAGCCCCACATGTCTGCCAGCAAGCAGAGGATCTGCACATTGAGCATTACTGTGAACAAGACCTGGCTGTTGAGCATCCTGCAGGGTTTAGGGAGGCAGAGCCACAACGCAGAGAGGGCCATTTCCTACTCTTGACTAAAAGAGTCCTGGAGGCAGGATCACCCAGTTTGGGAAGGGCAGGAGGTCCTCATGAACATTTTGAATCATTGACGCCTGAATGGTGCTGGTGGGCTCGGTAGGCAGCTGTGCCAATGCAGCTGCTCCGGAGTGTCTCTGTGACGTGGTAGGACCAGTGACTAGGTGGCAGGAGTGAAAGGCTGGCTCTACTAAGCTCTGGAGGTCTCTGTGTTCTCAGAGCACTCACTGTACAGCCTCCCGGCGAGGAAGGACTCAGCATTTCCCCGAGAAATAAGTAAACCAGAGGAAATGTCCCCCTTTCAGGCCACTCAAGATCATCTGGTAAATCACAGCAGCTAGCAGACTTAAACAGTGGGAGGCATGTCGAGAATGGGGTCCGGAAGCCTGTGGCACATCCGACTGCACCAGTGAGATCTGATCCCTCTCTCTGTGTCCAGCCACTTCTCGGCATCTGCCCCACTCATGGCCACAGCAACCTACCAAAATGGAAGCCTCTCAGCAGCGTCCTTGCAGGAGTTTGTGCTGGTGGGGTTTGGGGGAGGTGCAGAGACCCAGGCCCTGCTCTTTGCTGTCTTCCTGGTGCTATATGTGGTGTCCGTCCTGGGAAACGTCACCATGATTGTGGTCATCACCATGGATGCCCGCCTGCACTCCCCCATGTACTTCTTCCTCAAGAACCTGTCCTTTGTCGACCTCTGCTACTCCTCTGTCATCGCCCCCCAAGCCATGGCCAACTTCCTCTCCTCCTCCAAAGTCATCAGCTTTGAGGCTTGTGCCACGCAGTTCTTCTTTTTCTCCCTTCTGGGCACCACTGAAGGCTTCCTGTTGGCAGTAATGGCCTATGATCGCTTCATGGCCATCTGCAGTACTTTGAGGTATCCTGTGACCATGTGCCCCATGGCGTGTGCCCGATTGGCCCTGGGTACCTACTGTGGAGGCTGCCTGAACTCCATTGTGCAGACCAGTCTCACGTTCCAGTTGCCCTTCTGCAGCTCCAACCGTATTGACCACTTCTACTGTGACGTGCTCCCATTACTCAGGCTGGCCTGTTCAGACACAACTCTCAATGAGCTCGTAATGTTCGGTATCTGTGGGCTCATCATTGTGTCTACTACTCTTGTCGTCCTTATTTCCTATGGCTACATCATAGTGACCATTCTCAGGATGCACAGAGGAGCAGGAAGGCACAAGCTCTTCACTACCTGTGGTTCACACATGACAGCTGTGTCTTTGTTCTATGGAACTGTATTTGTCATGTATGCACAGCCAGGAGCTGTGGCATCCATGGAGCAGGGCAAAGTGGTCTCTGTCTTCTACACCCTGGTCATCCCCATGCTCAACCCCCTCATCTACAGTCTGCGCAACAAGGATGTGAAGGACGCCCTAAAAAGACTGGGGCAGAGACACAGCCTTGTGAGGGATGGTGGCCAGTGAGGGTCTTAAGTCTGGGGGGAAGATTGCCAATGAGGTATTGAGAAATCTCTTCCTTTCATCCATTCTACAATGACTCTTGAGGGCCCATTACAGACTGGGCACTAAGCAGGCAGCCTAAGGCTGCTCTGTTGAGAAGTGGAGCAAGGTCCAAGCGACTTTCTACTGTGGTGCAGTGAACATAATTGACATTTGTTGGAACTGGAATTGTTTTGTTTATCTACAAAAGGAAATGGATATTTGTGCAAAATCTAAAAAACTGAAAGAACTGTTCATATCAAGTGTCTCTTTGTGGTCATACCCTGATGCATAACTTGGTGAATCCTTGCGAGCTTGCAACAAGAGCCTCCTGCTGCCCTTTCGTGTCTTTCAGCTTTCTCCATCACTGAGATGAGATGTGTCTAAAGTAACTGCAATTTTGGAGAGGTGGCTCAACAGTTAAGAAGGCTTGGTGTCAATGCCATGGGACTCAAGCCAGGAGGCTCAAAATGGCCCATAACTCCATCTCTAGTAATGGGCTATGATTGCTTCATGGCCTCTGCAGTCCTCTGAGGGCCTGTGACCGTGGCATGTGTCCACCTGGTTCTGGGTACCTACTGTGTGGGCTGCTTGAATTCCACTGTGCAGGACAGGCTCACGTTGCAACTGCCCTTCTGCGGCTCCAACCGTATCGACCAGTTTGGTAATAGTGATGTGGACGGATGATGTCCGATTACACAGGAAACACCACATCCATGGGATAAAGGTCAGCATCCAGCTTCCTCTATAAACACATTCAGTCACGGTTGACCAGATGCAACTTCACCTCCACACCCACTTTGTGCCTCCATAGGCACCTGCACAGCCTCACTCGTCCATACTCACAGACAAACACAACACACGTAGGAAGAATTTTATAAGTTGCGTAAGACAACTCTAAGCATATTGCCAAGTGTTCCTCGCCATGAGCTCCATGGCTCTGGGGAAACACATCTAACATGGAGTCCCTTTCTCACACAGATACATGGTATGAATTTAATGTGGCAGTGAATACATATACATATAACATATGTCTATATGCATTTGTTGAGATCACTTCCTTGAAAGTCACAATCCTGGGAGTTCGCTACACTTTGTGCCTGGGGAAAAGACATACAATCCTGCCCTGTAATCCGTACACCACCAGGCATTCTGCCCAAGCCCAGCAGTTGGTCAGGTCTGAGCGCAGTTCCCTTTCCCTTCTGAGAGCAGTCTACACGCCTTAGAAGTCTGCAGGCAGGCAGCCTCCACAGAAGGTACCCAGAGCACGGGCTCTTTCTGTTTGTTCTTGATCTCTGTTGCTCAACATCATCTTTACAAAGCTAAGTGCTTGCTTGTGTGCACTGAGAGTTCCATGGTGGGTACGGCAGTGTGTGACCACAACTCTAGGACACCACGTGCTCTTCTTGCGGGAACATGGTTTGGTTTGTAGTTACTGTCTGCCAGGGTAGTGCTACCATGGCCTTGGACTTCTCCTGTGTGCGTGGATTTCTGTACATGCACTTGCTTGCTACTGGGGAATGCAAACATTAATCCTCTGTAGGAGCCACTACTTTAATTTGCTGGCCTGCTCCATAACTCAGTTTGTACACCCCATTGCCTAACACATGGAAACTTCCCTTCGGGCATCTAGGGGACACTTGATTATCTTGCTTGCAGCTTCCCTGCTCATGTGTTTTTACATGTCCACTTCACACATGTGGATGTAGGTTCTTGTTGATTGGTTGGTTTTCCAATACCATCTCCACTTTGGGCTTTGCTTCATCCCATGACTTTTTTTTTTTTTTCCTCAACAGAGGTTCTTAGAAGGTTTTGAGTTCAGCCACCTGTCTCTCTATGGTTAACGCACTATGTCATGTCCAGAGAACCGTGGCTTACTCTGATCACATCCAGTCTCCCTCTCTCTAGGATTGAGCTAATGCCCACCATGAATGTCAATACATCTCTAAACTTCTTTTTTAATTGTTCACTCACAGAATGTTGTTTTTCATGTTTGGCCTGATACCGACTTTTGTTTTTCTTTCTGCACACAGCTGCTGGCCTCCTAGAAAGCAAAGTGTGGCTTTCAGCAGCAACTCTGCAGTGCCCCTTCCTCCATACTCCAGTGTTGATGCTTGAATGAGCTGCTCAATTCTACCCAGCCCACTGAGCTTCTTCTACCCCACTACCCATGTGTTTGCATGCCTTGACTCCATTCTGTCCACTAAGCATTTTGCCTGTCCTGAATCCATTCTATGATATAGTGGTAACATATATTAATGCAATAAAACATTGTAAATAAAAACTAAAACCCAGAAAAGGTAAGTTCATTTTCCGAAAATTATCAGTAATAAGTAAACAACAGGAAGAGTAAGTATTAAAGTGTCTAATTTTCTAGATGACTTAGGAAGAATGGAAAAACTCAGTAATATTGATGTAGATAAATGATGACTAAGTAAACAGATACAACATGTCCATGGGGAAATAAAGGTCGGCATTCAAGTTAATTTACAAACTCAATCATATTTGACCAGATATTATTAAAAAGCTGAATAAATTAATCTACAACACGAAGGACAACATCAAAATATAATCCCACGAACGTCTGAAAATAAGAACAAGGAGGAGAAAGGCATCCTGCAAAAATCAGAACGTGTTTAGAAATGATATTATATGGCAGCATTTTTGTACGTCCATAGGAATATTAGAAAGTGCTCTCAAATGGCTAGGGACAAACCCCTTTGAGATACTACTGCAAATTGTCAGCCAGGAGAAACAATTCTTAGGGACTACCATTGTTTAAATACACTCTTCAAAATGAGTCAGGGGGTGAGGAAACAATTCAAATCCTGCTTGGGTATGTAAAACATTCCATCATTTTGAGGAAAACCTGGTCAGATAAGTGGAGAAAAAAGGAAATTTGGCATGACGTAGTTGCTCACAGAAACAGTCAAACCAAATATATGTGTATGTGTTTGCATATGTGTATAAGTATGCATATGTATATGGACATTTATGCAAGAAAAACCCCTGTCCCCTCATGGAACATGTAATAGGCAGGCAAGACTCACAGCAAAACGATAAGGAAATGGAAATTGAAGCCAGAAGGGAAATCTAAATAGTACCACCTGCATCCCTGTAGCCGGCCCTCACCATCATCACTGAAAATGCTTGCAAAATGCCTTCCCTGAGGCCTTCCAAGGTGCAGTTCATGTCTCTTCCCTGCTGAATTGTTTGTCATTGAAAATAGAAAGGCAGCAAAGCAAACTTCCGCCCTTCATCAGATGAGTCTTTCGATGAGAGGAAGCCTGTCTGTGTGGTACAGAAAGCAGCAGAAGGAAAAGAACATCGGGGACCCTGTGGTGACTGTGTTCTGCAATTAGACATGGAGCTACTTTTGCAGCAGCCATGAGGCACAGTGGCGAGGGGGCATTGCTCCCCTTGCCAGGTGGGAGCACACGGCTGCTCTCCGGCAGAGTCACCTCGTCAGGAACCCACAACACAAAGAACGGAAGGTTACTCCTCCACTGATCCAGAAGGCCAATATCACAAATCAAGCTGTTGGTACACTGGGAAGCCCCTGAAATCTTCAGGGAAAAATTCCTCCTTGTCCTCTCCTAGCGCGTAGTAGCTCCCCACTGATCTGTGGTGTTTCTTGTCGTGGGGCCTCCGTACCCCATCTCTGCACTCTTTACATGCATTTCTTCCTTCTGTAAATTTCCTGCATCCCCACCTCTTCATACAGGGCAGCAGTCATTGAATTATGGCCTCCCCACACTCTTGCTGCTTCATGCTGTAACGTAGCTGCAAGATCTCACCTCCAGGAAGGCAGCTTCTGTTTCCAGGTAGCCATAGCTTTTAGGACACTACACAGTGAGTGCAGTTGTGCTCATGTAAAGGAAGTTATGTTTGTAGTTGCTGGGTGCAGAGCTCTATAAAGTCAATTAAGACAGTGGCTTTCATTCTTTACTCAACTCTAACATTAAGGACTGTTTCTGTTGGTTTAGTCAGTTGCTGAGAGAACTGTCGTGGATTTTAAATGATGATTCATAGATGAGCATTTCCTCTTAAATCATATGACTCTGCTTTTCCTTTTCTGACTCTTTTATGTTGTGTGTGTTGTATGTATGCATGCCTACATATGTATGAAAACTGCCATTTTCTACATTGTTTCACTGAAAAGGGTCCTTGTGCACCAGCTGGACCTCATTCATTTGTCTACGAAGGCTGGCCAGTAATCTCCCAGTCTCCCCCATCTCTGTCCCCCAGCACTGGGCTCACAGCTGTGCACAGCCATGTCCACTTTTACGTAGGTGCTGAGGTAAGGATCTGAACCCAAGTCCTCAGGCTTATGCAGCATGCAGTTTTGCCCACTGAGCGTCCTCAAACCCATCTTCACATATTTTAACTCGTTGTTTATATTAAAATTAAGATTTCAATGCCAGATGTTGACTAAAATATATGCATATGAAATAACTATATCAACTTCTAGCTATTTATATCATTGCTATTCCTTTGGAAATATGTGCAGAATAAAGTCCATCAGGGCCTTTTCTTTCTATCATCTATAGTCTGTATAACAAGTCTTCCTTTCAAAACTTTGATTATGGATTGTATCTTGGTTTTATAAACATTGATTTCCATAGATACATTTTATTTCTTGTATGCTGACCCGAGGGGAATTGTAATGGTCAAAGATGGACGTTTTATGGTAAAGAAAGACCATAAAATCAATAAACTGACATATATAAGTTGATACGTGAATTTGAATATATCATTGGAAGACACTGATCTCCAGATTGGTTCTTATAAAGCAATAGAGATCATTTTCTTGCCTTCCTTCTGAGAGGTAATACTGAAAAAGTGAGTAAATTCATCACAGCCATGTAGAAAGCAACATTGGATTTTTAAATAAAAGCAACACCCATAGAAGTTCTACATCTGCAAAGACATAATGTATGAATCTAACTATTTTGTAAAATCAATGCAAGAGGGAAGCTAAAGAGTGCTCATAAAAGACTCATGCAGTCACTAAAGAGAAGATGACACCATAGAACTCTTGAAGGGAAAAGCCAGGCCTCCCACAATGAGGCTGTTCAATGGCAGCCACAATAGGGGTTCCTACAACCAGATCCTAGCTGAGCATTCAGAACTGACTGATGACTAACTAAAGACAGACAGGACAGAGGAACTTAATGCTCAACACCATGGGATGAGGCCATGGAGCCCAGAGTATAAGAGATTCTACACAATGAAAGGTCTAGTAAAGACATTAACCTCAGAAATACACCAATCAAAGAGAGCGGTCTCTCTGGTGATTCCAGAGATAGGTGAAGCACGCTTGATTTCCACATGCTGCTATTGGGCATTTGAACATTGACAGATAGTTGATGACATGAGGAAATTCTATTTCTACAGGTGTAATGCTCTACAGAGGCCCCTTGAAAAGCCTCAATGCTTTAGATGACAGATGAAATGTACATAGGGGGTTTTAACATATATTGGTCAGTTCTGTGCTATGAAAATACCTCAAAGAAACAACTAATGCAAAGAAATAGTTCCTTTGGTGTATGGCGTCAGTCCATGGTCTGGTTTCTGTTGTTATTGGTCCATGATGACTAGAACATCACGGTGGCAGACAAGAGTGGAGAACCAGACTTCTTAATCTCATGAAGACCAGGAAAAAGCTGGGAAGGGAGGGCAGATAAAATACACTATTCAGAGAAATGCAGTAGCGGTACACTTCCTCTAATTAAGTGCGTCACTTCCCTCCAAACATGCATTCACAAAGAATATTCTTGCATCCGAACCTTAACAGTCCACCCCTGTCTTCCTCCTAAGGCTTATGATCAACGTATTATGTGAAATATTTTTAGCCATCTCTAAGAGTCCCCAAACTCTTAACTCTTCAAACATCATTCAACAAAGAACAAAGACTCCTCTGAGAATTAAACTAAAATCTTACCTGTGTTTCATATATAATACATAATTCATAGGGTATAGCAAAATGAAGAAACCTCTTTGTCAGACTGTAACATTCCTTCCCCCAGGCCACTGTCCAACAGAGGTAATCATGGTGTACCTGAGACAGACCTCATCGACCAGGCCTCCACTGTCCACATTCCTGCCAGCTGTCTGGTCTTCTGGGCCCCTACCAACATCATCCATATCCCTTAGTTCTTCTTAGAGAATTCAAGGTTTCTGATAGACAGCTCCTTGAAATTTTTCCACATTCTTCCCTCAATCTCAATGACTTCAGACCCACAGATAAAGGTAGTCCCCCTTTTGTGGATCCTGGTGCTTCAAACTCAGGTCTTAATCTCGTGCAGCAAGCATTTTACCCACTGAGCAAGCTCCACAGCAAGGAAACTCATACCTTCTTGGCCATGGGCACAAGCAGGCTCTGTCTCTTAAGAGACTCAGGAAATGCTTATCAGGGTGAAGGTTGGTGTTATAAAGTCTAGCTGCTGCCTATAGGACATTAACGGCACAAGTGAGATCACAGATCCTGCTGTGTCCTGTGCACTCTTCACAGGACAGGAAAGAACATACAACTCTTGGGGTTCAGATGGAGTTATTGTGAGCTTGTCATCACAGAGTTGTTGCCTCAAACACAAAGAATACCTTAAGAGCAAATAGAGAGTGTTCAGATTTGTGACAGGAAGACATAGGAAGCCCTGAGGTATGTGTGAGAGCACAGCAAACTGCTGAGGGAGGGAAGAGGTTCCTCTGGACTTTCTCTTTTCTGTCTCTTCTGTTGGATCACTACTTACTGGCATGTATTCCTCAGACAGAAACCATCAGAAAAATAACAAAAGGAGATGGAGGTCATTTACACAGGCTTCTGATGACACTGGGGGACTTGGACCTGCAGAGTTACAGGCTTGGAGAGAGCCAGTGCTGACTTATGGTGGAATGAACTAACCAGCTGCCTTGCAGAAGGCTTCCTACAAGGTAGTTCTCACATCAACATGGCAAGTTGAAGGGAGCAGCAAGGGAATGGGCTGTGGCCACATTCGCCATCATGTGACTGCTCTAATGAGCTACTCTGAACACAGGTGCTCCCAAGTTGTCTCTGCTGTAATCCTAATGGTCCCTCCAGGGGTCCCTGAGATCTGCAGGCTTCCTGCCAACCCACAGGACACGAATGGTGATGAGGCAGAGATTGGCTACAGCCAGTCCTCCTCTTCAGGAGCCCAGGGAGGAAGATTCCCAGCAGTCAGCAGGCCAGCACCTTCCTAATTGGCCAATGGAGACCAGGAGCCCCAGCATGGCTACATGTGGAGCATCGTCTCCAGCAGGCTGACCTCTCCACACACTGTCCTACTAACAGTGACAGGAGAGCAGGCAAGGTGAGGAACCAGGCTCTTTCCTTTCAAGACCCAGAACCTGCCACAGGCAGAACCTGCAAATCCCACCTCTGATCATAGTCACTCACTCCATTTCCCAGGAATCCGCAGATGACTGATTAAAGGAAAGGCCCACTGATGTCCACCCCACATAGACATCATGGACCAGGCTCAGGAGCACGGGGGTGCTGGGAGCAGGGATGTTGCCTGGGTTACCTTGGTGAAGACCTGACTCATTTATGAAAGAAAGGTAAGTGCACTGTGTCACCTGTGAGGAGTAGGAAACTATATAGGTAGAGATCAGAAGAGTAAACAGTGTTCGCTGAGGGACCTGCCTCAGGAAGCAGACATGTCCTGTCTGGGTCATCCCTGGCCTTGGCACAGACCACAGTGTGCAGTTTTGTGGGGCCCCTACTCTTGTTCAACCCAGCTCCAATCTTGCAGGCAGATGGGCTGAAGCTCTGTATCCAAGCAGGTCATGGGAGGCGGTGATGCCGCTAGCTCCTGAGGAGCAGGATTGAAGTGAGCAATGGCTGTCCTTCACAGTCACCATCACCCAGCTCTCTCACAGCAGAGAAATGTCCTCAACCCCTTCTTTCCCTTCACCCCAGAAATGTCACTGGATAAGCAGACAGGGGAGATCAAGCTTGTTTGGGGGTTAACTGGAGGCAAAGGACCAGCCTTCCATTCCATAGCACACTCATTACCATGGAAAGCTGTGAGGGGTCAGTGCGGTGACCCCTGGTGGTTGTGTCAAGGGTGTGAGCACAAACCATTTCAGGCACACCTTGGCGCTCACAGTGGGAAAGTTAGCTTTGTGTGTGTGGTGGGCTCAGATGGGGCCCAGCCATCCCGTCACTCCTTCAGAGGCGAACTGTGGAGGAGAGGGGAGGACACGGAAAGTGAGCTCCCTCAGACTGAGGACTTTCTAACTCCCAGACGATGGGCAGTGGACACCACACATATCTACCATGTCCCTCAGACCAGCAACTTCCTGCCTCCGTCCTGTGCATGCTCCAATGTGGTAGTGACCACAGTCATTCCCACTCAGGACACTCCAAGCTTTTCAGTGCTGTGAGCACTATAAGAGAGAATGAGCAGGAATGGGCTGAGAGCCACGAACAGATCAGCTCTATCTGGTTTAAAATGAGAAAGAATAAAACCTTTGAGTTGAAGCATGGAGCAGAGCTGGCAGTGAGATCAGGTTTGTGGGCACATGGTTGTCCCAAATATATCAAAATCTCATCCTGCTGTTATTGATAAGACAGAGCTGGGCATGGGCTATCTCATGTCCAGGTTCTATGCAACAAGTCCTTGACAGAAATCCCCTGGCAACCTCCAGACACTGATGGCCACTCAATTCCATGCCCAGAATAAGAATAGCTGGTCCCACAGGGGACAGACAATGGCTCAGCCTCACCCAGGAAGGGCTGCACACTGCTCTCTTTTCAGCCTGGAGATGGAAGGATCACACAGCCCTGCTTCTGGAAGGGCAGGATGTCCCTGTAATATTCTTTGGTCACACTGAATTATGTGGCCTGGGAGACTTGGGTGGGAGACTCAGGGCACAGCTGTACTGATGACACAGGAGTCCCTTGGAGGTGGTGGGACAGGATCCTTTAAATCCCCCAAGGTGGAATGGACCAGTTCAGAGAGCTGGCAGAGATCATGCTTCATGCCATGAGCATGTCCCAAACATGAGTGGGCTTCAGTGCTTGTGTTTATCAGGACATAGGCCTGGGATACACTCTCACCACAATCTCTACCATCTCCACACTGGCAGCTCAAGGAAACAGAGTCTGCACATAGATTGTGGCTGTTCACCAGATTGGGAGCCAGAGCCACCGAGGTGAGGTCAACAGTCCTGCAGGGGACACTGGCACAGCATGAGCCTGGAGAGAGCTGTTTCTCTACATGAGTCCAGCCTAGAGATGACCAGATCACCTACCCCAGTTTCTGGGAGGTCAGCAGGTTCTCTTGTCCATTCTATGATCAGTGAGTATGATGGAAGGGCAGGATGGCATTTGGGGATGTCTAAGAATGGTACTGTTCAGGGGTGCCCCTGCAGGAGGAGGCCAAGCAACTCAGAGTCAAGTGTAGGGACACTGATATTGCTGTCTGCACCTGACAGTCACTCAGCTCAGAAACCCTCTCTGCGTCCTCAGGGCCCAGCCCAGGCTTCTGCACAGACAAGTCTCCGCACATCACCAGGAATTCATAAGTCAGACAAAATGTCTCCTTTCGTGTCACAGTGAGCCAGGAGTTCCAGGCCTCCTGGTTTGTGGACAGAGTGTCAGTGATATACTTCATGGGACATATGAATTTATAGGTGAGGACTGCTTCCTCTCTGACTCTGCCGTCCTCTCTGACTCTGCCGTCCTCTCTGCCTCTGTCCCCACCCATGGCTACATCAGTCCACAGAAATGGAAGCCTCTCAGCAGTATCCTCACAAGGGTTTGTGCTGGTGGGGTTTGGGGGAGGCACAGAGACCCAGGCCCTGCTCTTTGCTGTCTTCCTGGCCCTGTATGTGGTGTCTGTCCTGGGAAACCTCACCATGATTGTGGTCATCACCCTCGATGCCCGCCTGCACTCCCCCATGTACTTCTTCCTCAAGAACCTGTCCTTTGTCGACCTCTGCTACTCCTCTGTCATCGCCCCCCAAGCCATGGCCAACTTTTATTCTTCCAAAGCCATTGATGTTGCTGGTTGTGCTGCGCAGTTGTTTTTCTTCTCCTTTCTGGGAACTAGTGAAGCTTTACTTCTGGCCGTGATGGCCTATGACCGTTTCATGGCCATCTGTAGTCCCCTGAGGTATCCTGTGACCATGTCCCCCACCATCTGTGCTTGCCTTGTGCTGGCTGCCTACTGTGGGGGTTGCCTTAACTCCATTGTGGAGACCAGCCTCACCTTTCAGCTTCCCTTCTGTAGCTCCAAGCGCATTGACCATTTCTTCTGTGATGTGCCCCCACTGCTGCAGCTTGCCTGCACCAACACCTCTGTCAATGAGTTGGTGATGTTTGTCATATGTGGTTTCATTCTAATGGGGGCAACACTGGTCATCTTGATTTCCTATGGCTACATCGCCATGACCATCTTCAGCATGCGCTCAGGAACCGGGCGACACAAGGTCTTCTCCACTTGTGGCTCCCACTTGACAGCCGTGTCCTTGTTTTATGGAACTGGCATTGCTATCTATGGCCAGCCAGGTGGTTTGGCATCAAAAGAGCAGGGGAAGGTGGTCTCCATCTTCTACACCCTGGTCATCCCCATGCTCAACCCCCTCATCTACAGTCTGCGCAACAAGGATGTGAAGGACGCGCTGCAGAGGCTGGGACAGAGACGTGCATCCATGTGAAGGAAGGTGTCCTGGGGGTGGAAGGATTGTGTGGAAGACACATCTCATCCCTGGGACAGTTTGTGTGTGTTTTGAATTTTGTTTTTTTGCTGGCTTCGGGGTAGCTTCCTGCACACTTTCCTCCTTAAGGCGTTTGTGTTTGTCTTCTTCCGTCACCTTGTATTCCAGGAACAACACAGTCTCACGGGGTAGACACCACTGTTAGGACATTTACCCATGAGGAGGAGTATGTTCCTTGGAGCAGAAATAACCCCTCCCCCGACAAACAGCTTTTTCTTCAAACAGCAAGGGGGTTCTTTCTTTCTTTTTCTTGCTTCTTCTTTTTTTTTTTACTTTTTTAAAAAATTCTTTATTAATTACATTTTATTCACTTTGTATCCCCCCTGTGGTTCCCTCCCTCCCCCCTCTGCATGCATGCCCCTCCCCAAGTTCACTGACAGGGGAGGTCTTCTTTTCCTTCCTTCTGATCCTAGTGAATTAGGTCTCATCAGGAGTGGCTGCATTGTCTTCTTCATCAGGAGTGGCTGCATTGTCTTCCTCTGTGGCCTGGCAATGCTGCTTCCCCTCAGGGGGAGATGATCAAAGAGCAGGCCACTCTGTAGAACTAGAGCGGAGACTTCCTGTGATGAGCATGACCAGCCATACTGCACCACCAGTCCCCTGCCTCAGTTCTCATCCCATCTCAACTTAAAAGTCATGTCAGTATCCCATAACGCATTCATGTCCTCACTGGGCCTTACTGTTCACTCTCCACAGTGTAACTGCAATAATTAAACTTCCTCTCTTTACTCCAGCTCTCACCTGACTTTGTAAGTGGCATATTGAGACAGGTGAGTGAGCCTATTGGAAGATGGAGCTTGAACCTGGGGCTTTTGCCTTAAGACACCTGTTACATTATGAGTTAAAAAAATGGGGGCTAATTTTATGTAAACTTTCACTTTTATATCAATTTGAAGAAGGGTTTATTATATAAACACCAGATTGCACATATCCACAGACAGCATCAGGGAACATACGCATTTACAGGAAGCTTTGAGTAGGAACCTTGGCCACCACACTAACATAGCAAAGCAGATTTACCAATATCTGGAGGAACATTGAACCTAGGCTTATGACAGAGCAGAATGAATTAGGATCAATTACTTATTTGTTTCAGTTCATTTGAAAACTCTTTGCTGTTGCTACTGTACAGCCTAAATAAAGCTTACTGATGTAAGATGTTTAAAACTGTCTTTCACATTTGTTTAGTCCCAAGCCAGAATAAAACTGATTCTTGCATCCTAGGTAATTGTACTTTGGCTAGCATGGGTTTGAGATGGCAATGTTAAAAAGCTGGTTTTCTTAGAATAAACAGAAGAAAGGGAAAGGAAAAAAAACCCAGATAATTAGCCTGATGGGGGAAATTAAAACTCTGTATTAGTATCACACAGAAACATATATACAACAAGAACAGCAATTCAGAGACAAATACCAATAGCTAAATCAAATGGCATTTAAGGATCACATGAGACTTCACCCAAACTTTCCCTGCCCACCCTATCCTTGGCACCCACAGGTAAAGAGTCTCCGTGTCCCATCACCAGACCCCAAATTTCCCGGTCTGCCCAGCTCCCAGTGCTGTGAGAAAAGGAGCTCTCACATCCCACCACTGGGCCCAAACTTCGCTGTCTGCACAGTACCTGGTGCCAATGGGTAGGGAGTCCCAGGGGTTCTCCTCTAGGCTTGCACAGTCCTAGCTCCTCTGCTGACCATCAACTTCAAGCCCACAATTCTACTCAGTCAGCCAATCCCAGAGGTTCAACTTCCAGTACAAAATAAGAAACAACCCCAAAATCTAAGACAACATGTCTCCTCCAATAATGACTAATTCTATAATAATGGACTCCAATGAGAATGTCTCAAAGGTCTTCCTGGCAGAGTTCAAAAGAACAATGACAACTACATTCAAACAACTCAAAGAAGACATGGCTCCACCTCAGGGAAACAAAACCAGAGGTGAGTAAAATAAGAAAGCCAATAAACATATGAAAACAAAATTCAGCGAAGAGGTAGAATTTCTGAAGAAAATACAAACTGAAGTGGTAGAAAAGTTGTGGCTGTTGCTGTTTTGTCTTGGGTTTTTGTTTGTTCTAAGAGAGAGAAAAACCATGAGGTTGAATGGATAGGGAAGGTGGTGAGGATCTGGAAGGAGTTGGGAGAGGGGAAATAATATGATCAAAATATATTGTGTGAATTTCTCAATAAAACATAATATATACTTTAAAAACAATTTTAAAATAAAAATTTACCCAGATATATATTTCAAGAGCTATTTTCTCAAGATGGGCAAGACATGAAGGGTCCTCCTCCATCTGCCTAGGAGCCTTTGAGCCCTAGAGCTTCAAGATATGTTGTTTTATCAAAAAAGGGAACATGGTCAAGATGGCAAAACTGAGGCAAGTAATGGCTATGACCTTAGGCTCTTCCTCAAGGAGCCCTGAGGAAGACTGTCCAATATGGAGAACACTGTGTCAAGCAGAGGTTTCCCTCATGTTGAGTTCAGATATTCCATTGCCATCATAGGAGTCATGGCAGAGCCTGGTTAACCCAGGATCTCTCTAAGGGCTGGAGTCAAGGACACAGCATTTCATGAGGAAAAGAGTTCTCAGAAACAGAAATGCACACATCGAAGACACAGTAACAGGTGCATCCTGGGGGGTAAACACAAGTACACCTTGTCTACCAGACATGTTGCGCGAAGGTGGTGGAGAACATCCTTGTTTTGAGTGATGAGAAACCCAAGCATCTATGGACCATGCAGAGACATGCTCCATGTCTCAGAAGGACGGCAGGAACAGCACCCCTGTCGCTGACTGTTATATAATGTAGGATGCTCTCATAAGACATAACTGGCAGAAACACAGCAGAAGTGCATATGATCTAGTCCTGAGGCATTCCAGGCCAGGATGGAAAAGATAAATCCCACCTGACTGTTGCTACAGGGACAAACAGACAGTACCCTTGTGACCCACAAAGAGAAGCTTGACAGAGGCATCAAACCCAGGTACCCACCAAGAAATGACTTGTGGAGAACACTCCAAGATGTGGACATCGGCAAGAACTTCCTCAGGATGATTCTAGCCCTTCAGGAGACAACATCGACAGTCAACAAATAGGACCTCATGAAATTAGAAAAAATGGACAAAACAAAACTTCTGTACAACAAAGGGACACTGTTGATTAAATTAAGAGACAGGCACAGATTGGAGAAAATATTCTCGTTATAAACAGAACAGAGGATTTACCTAGAATATAAGAAAAACTAAACCAAAACAAAACATAAAACCTGAGCAATACTCCAGTAGATGGTCCCATACCCATGCACATACAGGCAGCACTAACTGGACTGAGTGAACGAGAGAGAGGGAGAGAAAGAAATGGCAATTTGGAAATTTGAAAAATTGAAATTGGAAACGCAAAGTGAAGGCAGGGATAGGGATAAAGATAGGGGAGCAGTTGGAGTGTAGATTTGATCAAAACACATTTTATTCATGTATGAAATTCCCAAACAATGAAAAAAAAAAAGAAAATGTGTTTCAACAAAATCAAATAACCCAGACAATAAATGAAACCGTCATTTCCCAAAAGATCAAACACAAATGGCCAATAAACAAGAGGAAATTGGCTCGAATGGGAACAGCAGAAGTCATAAAGCTAGCACAGCTGCTTGGCAACGCTCCAGCGAAGCCGAGCTGCATGATGCAATCGCCACCACGCCATCTTTTACTTTGGCCTTGATCACCGCATGTTGCACGCTTCAGGGGCTTTTACTACTATTTGTACAGCTTAGGGATATTTGATTGATGGGAAATTTCTTATGAACCATTTATGCCTTCTCCCGAGAGTACTGTTTCTAAGCGTCTCCAGGAATGTCCTGAGCATGGCATCCCTCCCACTTTTAGGGAGATTTCCTTATCTGGCTTTGCTTGAAAGTCTTCCTTACTCCCTGGAGTTGTGACTCACATAAAGACACCAGAGATCTCCCTATGTGGTTCTGGCTCCAAGACACTCTTGGAGCATCTGTCCCTGTACTTACTCAGGAACAAGATATTCAGAACAAAGTAAACTTAGGGCAAACAAGACTCGGTAGGTTGAGAAAGCTGGCAGCAGATCAGATTAAAAACCTCTTTCTACTACACACTCAGGCAATTGTGTGGCCTATAAGATTGGGGGCAGCATGTGTTATGCCCCTCAAGGAAAGGATACAGCCACAAAGTTCAGTTGGCTGGAGTTATCTCTGCCCTCCAGAGGGGCTTATACTGATGGACAAAGAATGGTGTGGATAAATGATAAGAGAATGAAGTATTAAAACCCTCCCCCTTTCCTAGAAAAGTTAGCTCATGTAGGGCCACTGTGGAGTCATAGGACCAAGGAACAAAAGAATACCATAAACATATAAATAAATTCTACAAAGATATCAAATCTAAACATTGTATTATGCCAGAAATTGAATAGTAACTGCAGCAACTTTGGCCAAGACTTTTCTTGGGCATAATGACAATTGGCACTGTGATTATTAAAACTGATAATTCACTGCTTGAGACATGACAATCTTCTCAGGCTAGCTTGGAGATTTTTTTTTCTGTCTAGTGAAGTTGAAACTGTAAAAGCTACCAGCCTGAGAACGGGCTGTCATGTATCTGCAAAATATTTCTCTAGATTCCTAAAAGTTGGGTTGTGGGGTTGATGATGAAAAAAAATTGTAAAAGATAAACTCTGTTCTGTTACAGTTTATCAATAGTGACAAAATTTATGACCAAGAGTAAGTTAAAACATGTTCAGGGACAAAAAAAATGATATCATCTATGTTTTAGAGCAACATGAATATATTCCTGCCTACTGAATTCTGTATAAATAAGCACTCTGACTGCCAGTCAGTCAGGCTGCAAGATTCCTCCTGGCCCAGCCTGACTCATTCCTCCCTCGCAGATTCTCTGTCTCCTTTGTGGGACCTGGCCAGT